TCCACCATGACCTCAGTGCTGAACATGACTGGAAAGATACAACCTTTCCAGGGACTGCTATTGCAGAAGGGCCTGCTGCTGCAGAGGGTCTGCCATTGTAGAGAAGTCATAACTGCACAAAGCTCAAGGCTGGAAGCGCCATTGCCTTAACATGGTGGGAGAAGGCATCTGCTGAGAGCTATCAGTGAGATTTGTGGATGGGATCCCTGGGTATGTCTCAGAATGAGGGTAGGCTCAGCTGCCAGTTTTCTACAAGGTTAGGGAGGACACACACTTCACAACAGGATATAATAAAAAGTAACTCAGGAGCTGCAGAAATGGCTCAGTGGTTAGGAGCATGCATTACTCTTCCAGAGGACCTGGGTTCAGCTCCCAGCATCATGTCTAGTGGTTCACAACCAGCTGTAACTATGACTCCAGGGGTTTCCAATGCCTCTGGCCCCCATAAGCACTGGCATGATAGTGTGCACACTTGCGCATGCACACACACACTGTAAAAGAGAATAAAAATTAAAAATTATGACGGGCAGTGGTGACGAACACCTTTAATGCTAGCACTAAGGAGGCAGAGACAGTCAGATCTCAGTGAGTTTGAGGCCAGCCTGGTCTACAAAGTGAGTTCCAGGAGACAGCCAGGACTGTTACACAGAGAAACCCTGCCTCCAAAAAAATAAAAAAATAAATAATAAATAAATAAATAAATTTAAAAAAAACTATCGCTCTCCCTGTGGCCAGTACACAGTTTGAAGATTTTCTCCCAAAGCCCATGTGTCCACTGCTTGGTACTTGTGTGGAGCTTCTCAGCACTGACAGTACTTTCAGGAAGTGAGGCCTGGTGGAAAGAAACTAGAAAATTCCCTTGAAGGGGATATTGGGATAGTAGGCCCTTCCCGTTTCACTCTCTGATTCCCAACTGCCACACTTTCCGGCAAGCTCCCAGCCATGCAGTCCCAACTCACCACAGGCCCCAAGCAGCTGGGCCAAGGAGTTATAGACTAAACCCACTGACAAAGTGTAAACTTTTTCTCCTTAAAAGTTCCCAGACCTTGGCTGGGTGTTGGTGGTGCACACCTTTAATCCCAGCACTCAGGAGGCAGAGGCAGGCAAATCTCTGTGAGTTTGAGGCCAGCCTGGTCTACAGAGTGAGTGCCAGGACGGGCTCCAAAGCCACACAGAGAAACCTTGTCTCGAAAAACAAAAAAAAAAAAAAAAAAAAAAAAAAAAAAAGTTTCCAGATCAGGTGTTTTGTCACTGTGACAAGAGCTGATGTAACTGTTAATTCATTGCTGCCCCTGGAAAAGCTCTGCTTGAGTTCTAGCTGGTAGGCTCTGAGCCGTGGGCTCTGTTCCACTGGGTTAGAGAAACATCTGGCTCTCGGGGTGGTGGGAAGGGAGATAAACTTTCTGAAGCTTGCTCTATGCCTACAAAGCAAACAAATGCATTCTCTTACTTGCCCAATCCTAGCTTGGCTTGTTTCTAGCCAGCTTTTCTTAAATTATCCCATCTACATTTTGCCTCTGGACTTACACCTTTTTCCGTTTCTGTGTATCTTTGCTTTCCTTCCCATTCCATGTCTGACTGAGTGACTGGCCCCTCCCACCCTCCTCTCCTCCTTTTCTCCCTCTTCTCTTTTGTTCTTTCTATTTATTCTCTCTGACTGGCAGCCCTGCCTATCCTCTCTCCTGCCTTGCTATTGGCCGTTCATCTCTTTATTAGACCAATCAGGTGTTTTAGACAGGCAGAGTAACACAGCTTCACAAAGTTAACCAAAGACAACATAAAACAATACAACATAGCCAGGCAATGGTAGTTCACACCTTTAATCCCATCACTCTGGAGACAGAGGCTCGAAGATCTTTGTGAGTCTGAGGTCAGCCTGGTCTACAGAGCTAGTTCCAGGACAGGCTCCAAAGCTACACAGAGAGACCCTGTCTCAACAAAAATAAATAAATAAAAATGCATACATCCTTGAATCATTAAACAAATATTTCACAGCATGGACAAATAGATCACATCTTCAGCTAATCTTATACAACAGAGTTGTGTCGGTGGATTTTTTGGAGGGACCACCAGCTCACAAAAAATAACACAGAGACTTATTAATTATGAAAACTCAGCCTATAGCTTAGGCTTGTCCCACTAGCTCTTATAACTTAAATTAACCCATTTCTATTGGTCTATGTATTGACACGTGACTCATGGCTTTTGCCTCTCCTCCTGCATGTCTTGTTCTAGTGGTGACTCAGCCTTTTTTCTTCCCAGAGCTCTCTGTCCAGAAGTCCCTGATATACCTCTTTCCTAGCTTTTGGCCATTTAGCTTTTATTAAACCAATCACAGTGACACATCTTCACACAGTGTAAAGGAATATTCTACAACAGAAGTGTCTTGTTAGGGATAGCCTTTTCTGTCCCTGTCTTTGCCTATTTAATTTAATTTGAGACCATGCCTCACTATGTAGTTCCAACTGGCCTGGAACTTGCTATGTAGGCCAGGTCATCCATGAACTCATAGAAATCTGCCTCCTGAGTGCTAGGGTTTATGGTATATACCATCACCCCCAGCCTTATCTCTACCTGTCTTAACTAAAGTATATTGTCCCTCCCTACAGTGAAAAGCAAAATCACAGAGCAACCCCACCCCTTTCTGACAACCAATCCCTGAGCCTTGTGTTTCCATGGACTCTCCTCTGTCACAGCTGAGCTTCTCCCCTGATATAAAATGTCTAAAACTGGGCTGAAGGGCTGGAGAGATGGCTTAGAGTTTAAGAGCACTGGCCACTTTCCCAGAGAACCCAGGTTGGGTTCCTAAAACCTACATGGTAGCTCATAGCTCTCTATAACTCCAGCTCCAGTGGATCTGACACCCTCTTCAGACCTGTGAGAGGACAAGGTACTCATGTGGTGTATATACATGTACACATACATACATGTATGCATGTGACATGCAGGTAAAACATCCATGTACATAAAATAAAAATAAATACATCTTTAAAAAAATGATTGGGGGAAAAAAACAGGCTGGGGATGTAGCTCAATTTATAGAGTGCTAGCCTAGCATGCCCAAAGACCAGGGTTTAGTCACCAGCACTACATACATTGGATATGGTAACACACACCTACAATCCCAGCACCCTGGAGGTAGAGGAAAGAACAGAAGTTCAAGGTCATCTCATCTTGGCTACATAGTGAGTTCCAGGCCAACCTAGTCCACATGAGACCTTGCCTCAAAAACCAAGCAAACAGGCTGGAGAGTTAAGAGTACTGGCTGCTCTTCCAAAAGACCTGGGTTCAATTCCCAGCATCCACAGAACTGTCTGTAGCTCTAGTTCCAAAGGATCTGACACCCTCACACAGACATACATGCAGAGAAAACACCAATGCACATAAAATAAAAATTATATATGTATATACATATGCATTTACAAGCAAACAAATAGTAAAATGAAATTACACACACACACACACACACACACACACACACACACACACACACACGGAAGTTTAAAGCCCATGGGTTTTACGGTGACTCTGGTTTTGGCAAGGCTGTTTATTTTAGCTTTCTGATTTTGTTCTTGCAAATGCTGCTGCTTAAGCTGCTCCTATTCTGATTCATTTATTCAACCAATACTTAATAAACAGCTGCCATCGTTAAGCACCGAGAAGTACTCAAAATGAACGACAAAAGGTTCTCAAAGATGCCTGGTCTAATAGTATGTGGGCAGAGCACAAAACAGTAACTAAGCCACAGAGGCTGAACTTGACAGTGTGATGGTGAAAATCCAGTTGGGCAGCTGCTAGCCTCACACTACGTGGGAAGGCCTCTGGGAGAGAGTTTTCTACAGATGCCTAAATAAAGAGAAAGTAGCCACACAAAGGGCTGGAGCAAGAGTCTATTCGGACAGGTAACAGCAAAGTAAGGCAGCAAAGCCAGCCAGTGGCTTAGCCTGGGAGACAAACAGAAAGGCCCCAGACCACACAGTGGGTTGAGATGCAGTCAGAGGACAGTGTAGCTTGTAGGTCAGGGTGTGACGGGCTTTTCTTTATTCTCCTACATGACGCCAGAGGGGTTTGAGTAAGGGGGTGACTGTGATTGAGTCTGAGGTCAGTGCCCCATATGGCGCCACTTCCTTCCCCTGGGCTGCTTTCTCAATGCAGAGGGCATGTGAGCGCTTCCCTTGGCACAGGCAGTGGGGGACCCTGGGGCTCAGAATCCAGGGTCCAGTCACCGCCCACCTCCCTTCCCCACTCCTACTGGGCTGTCTCTGGGTCTATGAAAGGATATCGCAGCCACCAAATGCTCCATATGGGTCTGAACCCAGTGTCACCAACCTTGTTAGTGTTGAAGAATCCTGAAATTCCTCCAAAGGTGGCTCCCTGGGCAGATGTCCCTTGGTGTCTTCCTGCCTCATCCAAAGTCCCTGAAATTCCTCCAAGGGTGGCTTCCTGGGCAGAAGATAGATGTCCCTCAGTGTCTTCCTGCCTCATCCCTAACTGCAGTGACAATCAGGCTCTGGGATAGGTGGAGGGATGGGGTGAAGTGAAACTGAAAGCAAGTCTCCCTTCCCAGCCCTGGCAGACTTGGACTAGGGTGGGTGGCCAGCCACTGTCCAGGAGAAGGGAAATTTTTAGAAAGCTGGGTGAGAAGGGACCCTGTGACCCACAGGCTTTCATTTCTCCTAAAGACAGGGTGACGTAGGCAGCCACAGGGCCAGTGAAAGGGGAAGCCCAGAGTTTCTTAAGTAGCAGAGAGAGGCACACAGTCTGAGCTGTGAGGAAAAGCCAGAAAGAAGGGACTGGGGGGGGGGGGAGGCAGTCAAGCAAAGAGGGGTGTGTGGAGGCGGTGGCAGGGCTGGTGGGGGGGTCATTGAGGCTGGGTGTCATAAGAGAAGGGGACAACAGTTGAGAAAAGGTGTGGGGAGGTGTGGGCAGCAGGGGCTGACTGGCAGGAAGGAGGGGGAGGTCAGAAGGGGAGCAAGGCGGTGATAGGGTGTGGGGATAGACAAGGCCAGAGTGGAGGAAGGAAGGAGAAAACTGGGCAGAAGCACAGAGGTGGAGATGAACAGGAACTAGGAAGTGCAAGGAGAGAGTGGACAATTAAAGTGGAGATCGAATCTCGGTAGCAAGGAGAGGGACCTGAGGGAAAAAGGGAAGGAGACAAGGGGTGAGAAAAGAGGGCAGTCGGTTTAGGGGAGAAGAGGGAAGGGCAGAGGAGAGGATCTGTGTCACGGAGGCAGGAGGCCCACGATGTCTGCGCCTCATGCTCAGGAGCAGCCAAGCAGGTCCAGGGAGCGGCAACCGCTGGTAGCTCGCCGGTGGGGTCCCCAACGGTGGAGAAGGACAGCGGCTGCTGCGGTGTTGGTGGTGGAGATGCTGGAACGCACTGCTTTCTTTGGCATCACCTCCAACCTTGTGCTCTACCTCAACAGCTTGAACTTCAATTGGGAGGGCGGGCAGGCGTCAAGGGCCGCACTCCTCTTCCTGGGCGCCTCCTACCTGCTGGCTCCTGTGGGAGGCTGGCTGGCGGATGTGTACCTGGGCCGCTTTCTCACCATCTCTCTCAGCCTGGTACTCTACCTGGCTACCTCGGGCTTGTTGCTCGCAACCATCACCGTCGATGGCCGCAAATCCTTCTGCGGAGAGATGCCCTTGTTGCCGCTGGAACCCGCCTGCCCATCTGCAGACTGCCCAAGCTCATGGTCCAGTCCCTACTGTGCAACTACTCTCTACTTGGTGCTGCTGCTCCTGGCGCTGGCTGCCAGCTCCGTGAGGAGCAACCTCACTTCATTCGGGGCTGACCAGGTGAGTGGCCAGGGGCATTGTGCCAACGAATGGAGATCCTGAGTTGGGGGTTCCAGCCTCTAGAGTGACCTCAGACAAACCACTTCCCCCTTTACACCAGTTTCCTTATATGAAAATAGCAGGGCTGCTTGCTCTCCAGAGTCACGAAAGCCTCAGTAAGCTTAGACATAGATCCCATCTCTAAGCCATGCCCCAAGTCTCCGGCTGAGTGCCTTTTTCTTTTTTTTTAAGACAGTGTCTCAGTCTTCCAGACTGGTCTCCAACTCAGTTTGTGGCTGTGGAGGGCTTTGAACTCCTGAATCTACTGCCTCTACCTCCCAAATGCTGGTGTGCTATCATGCCTGCCCCAGTGTGGTGTGTGTGTGTGTGTGTGTGTGTGTGTGTGTGTGTGTGTGTGTGTGTGTGTGTGACCTCTGTAGCCTAGACTGGTCTAGAATTCATTAAGTAACCCAGGTTGGCATCAAACTTGTGCCTATCCTCCTGACTCAGACTCCTCCCTGTGTGCTGGGATCCCAGATGCCTAGGTGCTTTCCATGTTGGCTTTCTTAACTATTCACTAGGTGGGTAGTATTGTAGCCTCTCAACTTACTTCAGATGACAGAAAGCAGCAGATCATGAGGGATGATGAGGTAACTGAGCCTCAGGTCCCAGCTTGGTTCCTGTCCTAATGTATCAGTGGGAACTGGGGGCTGGTGCAGGATCCAGCCAGTCTCTTCTCACCCAGTAACACCAGAGGCACTGGGCAAACATATTCAGATCTCATCTTTGCCCCTCATTCGAGGGCCAGCCAGGTTTTCACCTCACCTGAGCCCTTGACACTCCCCTGGAACATGGTGCGGTATGTAGAGAAAACAAAGCCAATAAATATTTGCTGAATGATTGTCTTGCTGACATGGCCCTGTTTTGGTAGCTGTGTGTGCACAAATAGTATAGTTGATAATACAATAAACAAGTAGAGAATACTATTAAAACAACTACACAAAAGGTGAATGATCACAGGCAGAATACAGAAATCATCAGAGACTGGTGTGGTGAAGATGAGCTGTCCATGGAAGGAGGGGACAGTGATATTGGCAGTGTGATCAGGCCACCGGATGAACTGTACATTCCCTCTAATTCACTTTGTTTTCCTCATAAAGCACTCAGAAGTTATGTCTTTCAGTTGACATCCACAACCCCGCACCTCACAGTGACCAGTGTCCTTACTGAGGATTGCCCTTTTTAACCACATGTATTTGTGTATGTGTGTGTGTCTTTGGAAGCATATGTGCACATGTGTGAGCAGCTGCATAGTAGAGGTCAGCAGAGTGTGTTGGGCTCCTGGGAGATGGAAACACAGGCATTTGTAGACAGCTTGGGCCTCGGGCATCTTTCTCATCCCTCCCGTTTAGTGTTGACCAGAAGATTCCCAATACCTGCCAAAAGGAATGTTCCATCTTCTACTGACTTTACTCTTTGCCTGACATCCTACTCCTTACCCACCCCCAGCAGCCCTGAAACCCTGGAGTAGATGGGGGTGGCCAACTATTGCAGGGGCTGGCAGGCAACAAGCTTGTTCTACAAAACAGAATAAAAGAACAGTTCATTGATGTTGAGTGTGCTGCAAAGAACAACAGGCTAGGTAGGAAGTAGATGGTCTGCCACCTGCAGCACAGGGTAATGATGTGTGGGTCTCTATTTGGTTGGGGTGAGTCTCTTTGTGGGCATTTCCCAGCATTTGATTTGTGCCCCCAAGAAGGAAGGCAGCCCAGATTAGTAGTGTACTGCTCTGGAAGGTTAGCACAAGCTGCTTTGTATAGAACTTCCAGTTGTGCAATATCAGCTATGCAAATGAGAGCCATGCAAACCTGGGCAGTTCTTGTTCATCAAAATTCAGCTCTGATCAAAGCTCAGGTCACAAGGCAGCACTGTCAGTTCAGAGAATTCTGCCACTGGCAGTTTAGGATTCCTGGACCAAGCTTGTGAAAATTCACTAAAGGAGGACATCTTTCTGTCCTGGGCTCTCATCAAAGGCCTTTCCACCATACCTCAGCCAAACACCTCCTCTCTCTTTCCTTCTGGTTGAAGAACTGGTTACCCAGAAGCCAGATCATGGAGCCTTCTGTGACATCTATAGCTTTATTCAGTGAGTTGTCTCCTTACCCCAGTCATCCATTTTAACATAAAATCACTATGTACCAGATGAATACTGTTTCTATGCTGGCAACCATCAAAACAAATGCTCATTGTGCTGGAATTCTTGATTCTCAGCTGATGAATAGCTTCAAACCAGACTCTGGGTTGAGGGGCTTCTTCCCCTCCCCACGCCCCCTTATTTTTTGCTCCCCAGGACAGTGTAGAGACATTGGATTGGCTTAAGGCAAGGTAGACTTTACTATATTTGAGTTCTTTAAAGATGGCTCTACTGGCTTGAGTGGTGGTGGTGCACATCTTTAATCCCTGTGCTTAGGAAGCAGAGGCAGGTGGATCTCTGAGTTCAAGGCCAGCTTGGTCTACAGAATGAGTTCCAGAACAGCCAGGGCTACAATGACAAACCCTGTCTTCAAAATCAAAACCAAAATAAAACAAGTAAACAAACAAACAAATGGCTCTACTGCATTGGAGATATGGGTAGGACAACAGGATTGGGTGTACCAGAGCACAGGACAGGCTGCGGCAGCATTCATGAGATTTGGTAGTCAGTCCTGGGATATGGGAAATTTGGAACCATCTGGAAAATAGCCACGCATAGGAGCTGCAAGTTTAGCACACTTGCTGATTTCAGGAAGGGCCATTTATCATTCTCCACACGGCATTCGCTTATTCTGGAAGGACTCATTTATATCCCGCATAGGCTGTCTGGTCGGTCCTTTCAAGTTACACTTGTCATATGTACTTACTTCCAATTAATAAATGGAAGTAGCTGTTCATAATGGGGCGTATTCAATTTTCTGCTTGAAGGTTCAGGCAAGGATTCTCAGTAAGCTGACATGGCAGTGCCCCTCCTCCCTTCTCCAAGGGAGAATCCCCAAGGCAATGTAATTTTAAGCACATCTGTATGGATTATAATTTTACATTTAGATAAGGAGAAAAAACATTTATCACTTCCTCAGCACAACAGCTGCAAGGAAAGTGTGGGAGAATGCCCTTAGTAAGTGGAAATATGTATTCCGAGTTTGGAATGGGTGGAAGGTTAGTGACGGATTCTAGGATTTTGTGGTCATTGAAGCATGGCTGTTAGCCAGACCTGATACCACATGCCCAGAATCCCAGCTGCTTGGGAGGTTTAGGAAGAAGAGGATGGCATGTTCTGTTTAAGCTACAGAATAAGTTCAAAGTCAGTCTCCACAACTTAATGAGAATCCGTTTCAAAATAAAAGTCAAAGAAACCTGGAGACATATCTCAATGGTGGAGCACATGTGTAGCACATTTGAGGCTCTAACTTGGATCTTTAGCACGAAAGGCAAGGGGTTAAGGGGTAGAATACATGTTACAAAAGCATGGAGACCTGAAGTGAGATCCCAGCAACCTTGTAAAAAGCAGTGTGGGGATGGAGAAATGTCCCAGAGGTTAAGAGCACTGGCTACTCTTCCAGAGGATCTGGGTTCAATTCCCAGCACCCACATGGCAGCTTCCAACTGTCTGTAACTCAGTTACAGTGGCTCCAACACCCTCACACAGACATAATGCAGTCAAAACACCAATAAACATAAAAAGAAATAAACTTTTAAAAAAGCATAGTGTGAACACACATGCCTGTCACCCTAGTGCTGTCACCCGAGTGCACACACATGTAGATAAACTCAGCAATATATGCACAAGCACACAAAAATGCACATGCATGTATGTGCACACATACATGCACACACACACACATACATACACAAACATAGATAAACCTCAGTATACTTGCACACATATGTACACATACACATGCACACATGTGCACAAACAAGAATACAGAGATTCATTTGAGAAGCAACCACAAGTTCTGGCTTTTTAGAAATGCAGGAGTCAGGGCTTTCTTTCTGAGCTGTTGAGTCAGAATCTAGTGGTCATGGTCTGGGATTGGAAATGAGGCCATTGCAGCTAGCCAGAGATGGCAGGACAGAGTGGAGGATCTGCTGTAGGATGACCTAAATCCTGGGGTGAGATCTGCCCTTGCTAAGGGGCCTAAGAAATATTTTTTTTCCATAGGGTCAGAGCTTGCTGTAAGGGCTAGGCACCTAGAACCACCTCCACCCATATCCTGTTTCTCCAACGTTGTTTGACCATGCCTAGAAGGGAGGGTAGCACTTCAGAACAGATAAGCTTTCATGCAATACTCAGTTTGCAACTGGAGCTTCAGAGAAAAGTTTTAGCCAGTCTCAGTCTAATCTTCCAGTAGCAGACACACATCACATTTAATGGTGTGGAATGAATGGAGATGTTTATGGACATTTTGCTGATTATGAAAGTAACGCACGCACAGCATAGGTTGTTCAAAGACCAGAAGTGAACAAAATGGCCTTGAAGACATTTGCTGTATGTTCTAGTTGGTGGCAATAAAAAAAGATCAATGTATGTCATGAGCATATAAAACAGCTGGGTGAAAGTGTTTCAGTCGTTAACTGGCTCTCAAGAGAAGGGTGAATGCATGGACTGGAGATTGCTCAGCAATTAACTTGCTTACTGTGCAAGCATGAAGTCCAGAGTTTGAGTTCCAAAAACCCACACAGAATGCCAAGTGGATTTGGTAACCTGTCTGTAATTCCAGCCTGAAACAATAAAGATGGGATCCCCAGAACAACCTTGCTAGGGAGACTAGCCATATTGGTGAGCTCTGGGTTTGATTGAGAGACTCTGGCTCACTAAATAAGATGAAAGAGTATTTGATACATCAGACCTCAAACATCCATAGGTATATGTTCACCCCTGAGTACATGTGCTTATACAAGCATGCTTATACAAGCATGTTTATACAAGCACGCATGCACACATATGCACACCATATATGTGAAAAAATATGTTCCTTATTCATTTAATGATTATTTATTGAATATATATTTAGTAATCAAAGGTTAGGAATGTGATTACTTGCTGATTCTAGAAGCATCCCTATGGGATGTATGTGTACAAAGGACCTCCTGGGTCCTCTCTCACTCTTGTCCTTGGCTGGATGGCAGGTGATGGATCTTGGACGGGATGCCACCCGCCGCTTCTTCAACTGGTTCTATTGGAGCATCAACTTGGGTGCTGTGCTGTCCTTGCTGGTGGTGGCCTTCATTGAGCAGAACATCAGCTTCCTATGGGGCTACAGCATCATCGTGGGCCTTGTGGGCCTGGCATTCTTCATTTTCCTCTTTGCCACCCCTGTCTTTATCACCAAGCCCCCAACAGGCAGCCAAGTGTCATCTATGCTGAAGCTTGCATTCCAAAAATGCTGTCCCCAGCGTTCTTCCAGGTAACAAAGGGTAAAGGTGGCTGCCAAGCCCCCTGGGGGAATCCAGATCCTTCTGGCTCTGTTTCAGGGTGGCACTGAATGAGAACCTGCCCTCTAGTCACAGTCAGAGCTACAATGACTAAGGATGGTGGTTACTGTGAAAATGATGGGGGTGCTGGTGGTGATGTTGGTGGCGTTGTTACTGATGATCCTCTAATTAGAAGTCATAAGGACAGAGCTGTGGGGGATGGCCCAGGCTAAAGTGCTTGCCTACCAAGTTCTCGGACCTGATTTTCATCCCTAGCACCAACACAAAAATGCCCATTATGGTGGCACAGACCTACAGTCTCAGCACTGGGGAGGTAGAGACAGGTGAGCCCTGGGACTTGCTGAGCACCCAGCCTAGCCTAATGTGAGCTGCAGGACAATGAGAGATCATCTCTAAGAAGGGAGATAGCGTTCCTAAAAGTGAAAGTGATACTCAAGGTTATGCACCTGTACACACACACACACACACACACACACACACACACAGTAAAATTTAAGAAGATGTTAATAGGGAGAAGGAATTAGGAAAGACACTCACTGCACCTCCAGCCCACACAGGAATGTGCACACATGCTGTTCTAATTTCATTCTGTTGCTGTGACAAATATCATGAGCAAAAGCAACTTAGAGGAGGAAAGGGCTTATTTTGTCTTAACCCATCACTGAAGAAAGTCAGGGCAGGAACTTGAAGCAGAAACTATGAAGGAATACTGCTTGCTGGCTTGCCCAGGCTCATGTTGGCATTTTTATACAGCCCAGGACCACCTGCCTAGGGAATGGTTCCCACCACAGTGAGCTGGGTCCTCCTACATCAATTAAAAATCAAGGCAACTCCCCATAGACATTCCCAAGGGCCAACCTTATCTGGGCAACCCCTTGGTTGAGACTCCCCGCTTCAGGTGACTCTAAGCGGTGTAAGGAAGTTGACAGTTAAAGCTAAGACACTGTGCACATGCACTGCACACAGACATTCACTATGTACATACACATTCGCAATTTTTAAAAGAAAGAAGAAATGCAGAGGACAGTGATGGTCTTGGTGGCAGCAGTGGTGATAGATGATAGGATTAGCAGTAAGAATAATCACTGCCTGTGGGCTGATGGTGGGCCCCAGTGCAGTGCCCTGAGATATGATCTGGATCTTTGGAGAGGACTTCACTGGTGTTATACTTTCATGAGTCGCAAAGGATGATGCAAGGCTCTTAGACAAGGAAAGGATCAGGTATTCTCAGGACAAAGAGCAAAGGCCAAAGGTGTAGCCACAGTTGATCTAATTATTCTAAAATAAACAAACCTGTTATTAAGTAAAACCAATTCTTCAGAAAGCAACCATCATGGCTCCCTCCCTCATGAGCTCACACCTGAGAGAAATTGATTCCAAGTGTCCTTAGAAATGCTTGGTAGCTACTTCTGTCCTTTCCATCTGGTCTGGTTTTTAAAATGTTATTTATTTATTTACTTACTTATTTGTGTGTGTGTGTGCATGTGTGTGTGAAGCAATTACTTATATTGTCCTATTATTAAATAAAACTTGGGAGTCAGATATCGGGGTAAAAACCTGACTGATCAGAGAAGGATGGAGAAGTGATCAGTGACCTCTTCTTTCCTTCCTCTATCTAAAAGGGCTTGAATCTTTCTAAAGCCCTCCCTACTACTCTTTGTGTCTCTCTACATGTCCTGGGCCCTCCAAAACCTCTATGGCTAATTCTGATCAGTTAGTAGCTAACTCTGCCCTCTGATTCAAGGTAAAATTTATTGGCAGTCTCAGGAGCGTCAGAGTGAGATTAAAATATGCCACAGTGTGTGTGTGTGTGTGTGTGTGTGTGTGCGTGCGCATGTGCATGCGTGTGCTACAACATGCTTAACATGCTTATAGAAATCATAGAACAACCTGTGAGAGTCATTTCTCTCCTACTGTGTGGGGCCCAGGGACCAAACTCAGGTCATCAGACTCGGTGGCAAGTGCCTTAACCTGCTGAGCCATCTTGTACCTCCAAACTCTGGGTTTCTCTGTGTATCCCTGCTGTCCTGGAACTCACTTTGTAGACCAGGCTAACTTTGAACACAGAGATCCATCTGCCTCTGCTTCCTGAGTGCTGGGATTAAAGGTGTGTGCCACCACCATCTGGTTTCTGATCTCTTTTTTTTTTTTTTTTTTTTTTTTTTTTCTTTTTCTTTTTTTCTGATCTCTTTTTAAATGAGCGTACAAAATAGCAGATTTCCTTTCGGCATTTTCACACATCCTCCTTCCCCATCTCCCTGTCTCTGTTCCTCACTGTCCCCTTCTGCCCCCAGTCTCCCTTCCAGTTTTCTCATGTGTGTTCTATTGCCCTTCCTAACCCCTTCTTCTTTTTTAATAATAATATTTTTATTTAAGTTTGAGGCAAGCTTGTTTTACATGTCAATCCCAGTTCCCTCCCCCTCCCCTCCTCTTCTGACCCCCTCCCAATCCTCTATCCCATCCCCTTTTTGCTCCCCAGGGAGGGTGAGGCCTTCCATGAGAGATCTTCAGAGTCTGTCATATCATTTGAGGCAGGGCCTAGGCCCTCTCCCATGTGTCTAGGCTGAGAGAGTAGCCCTCTGTGTGGAAAGTGCTCCCAAAGTCCGTTTGTATACTAGGGATAAATACTGATCCACTACCAGAGGCCCCATAGACTGCCCAGGCCTCCTAACTCTCACATTCAAGGAGTCTGGGTCAGTCCTATGCTGCTTTCCCAGCTATCAGACTGGGGTCATGAGCTCCCCCTTGTTCAGGTCAGCTGTCTCTGTGGGTTTCTGCAGCCTGGTCTTGACCCCTTTGTTCATCACTCCTCCTCCCTCTCTGTAACTGGATTCCAGGAGTTCGGCTCAGTTCCTAACCTCTTCTTAAAGCCTCTTTTTTTCCTCCTCCCCCAGTCCCCTTCTAGTTTCCTGCACGTAAATACACTCACACATACATACACATATGTAATGGTTAGCAGGTGGGACTCACATTTGAGAGAGACCATGCAGCATGTGTCTAAGCCTATGTTACCTCACTTAAAATGATACTTTCCAGTTCCATCTGTTTTCCTCAGATTTCTTGATTTCATTGTTCTTTATGGTTGAATAAAATTCTATTGTGTAAAATTGACCACTTGTGCCAAGCAAATCTGCCTCTAGTTCCCGGCCAGACCCAGTCCCAGCTGGGGTCAGTGGAATCTAGAAAAAAGGGTGAATTGCCAGCCTTCTCCAGTCTGCTGGGTTGCTGGAGGTCAGTCAGTAAAGTTACAGGTGCCAAAGAGTCTGGTGGTTTTAATTAGCTGTTACTGCCTCACAAACCACACCGCAACTTACCGACTCAAGCACCAGCTTTTCATCCTCTTTCAAATGCTTTGGGTAACTATGGTTGGTTAGCAGGGCGTGTCTTCTGCTGCTCTCAACATCACCATTTGGGTCATTTGGGAGCTTTAAAGGGCTAGATTCTAGAACATTCTCACACGGTGGTAGTCGATGTTGAGTTCAGAGCTGTTGGGACTGATGGTGAAAACCTAAGTTTCCCCTTCCCATGACCTTGTCTGCAGCTTGCCCTTCTTAGGGATGGGGTTTAGGATATGAAAAGGAGCATTCTAAGAAGGAATATTCCAGAAGGTGGGCGGTAGAAGAAGCTGTGGGTCTTCTTAAGGGTTGCAGGGGCTTAGACTTTGCAAAGCATGGCATCAACGTCTCTATTGATTAAAGACTCACAAAGTCAGCCTGGATCTGGCAAGAGAAACAGACCACAGCACTGATGAGGAACAGCACTGAATGCTGGGAGGGGAGGAGTTATGTCAGCCGTCCCTGAAGGAGACCAGCTGGACATTTTCCTTTTGGAATCTCGGAGGACAGCTCAGGGCTTTTGGATGAGAAAGGTTCAGAAACCCTGAGGGCAAAGGGTAAAGGGTAAAGGCCGTTCTATTTGGTCTCCTGGTGATGGTCCTTCTGTCTCTGCCCTTTCACTTTCCGCTCTCCACCTCACTGTTAAGTCCACTGAGGGTAGACATGGGGTCAGCAGCAAGGGAGTTGGGGTTACAACAAATCTGGGAAACTCTGAGTTAGATTGTGTTGGGACTTCCATGGTTCTCATGGTAAATGGATGCCACAAGTCAAAAAACAAAAAAACAAAATCCCAGAAGACTCTGCTTTCTTCCCTCTCTGGTTTTACCACCCGCCCTCCCCAGAAAACCCAAGAGCTGTATACAGCTTGAGAGTGGTGTAAATCTGATGGCCACCCGTGATAGCTTGGGTGATATCGATCACCTTACTAGTGGGTATGACGGGAAGGGTGATAGAGTTGGTGCTAGAGGTCTTTACGGTGTAATGGAGGGGAGCAGTGGCTGGGATTCTTCTCAGGGATCTGGGAATTGGTTCTCTCTATCCATTGTGTGGGCCCTGGGAATTACACTCAGATTAAAGGCCAATGCTTTTACCAGCTGAGTCATCTCCCTGGGATCCTGGGAGGATGGTTGAGGTGGTGGCCTTAGTGCTAGAGAGAGCTCAGGTGTGACTGATTTTCCTCTTCCTGTGGCCTTACAGGAACTCTGACAATGCCCACCTGCTGCCTGACCAGAGGTCTCACCAGCGGGGTCCTTCTCCACAAGAAGACATGGCCAACTTCCAGGTGCTGGTGAAGCTCCTGCCTGTGATGGTGACCCTTGTGCCTTACTGGATGGTATATTTCCAGGTAGGCCTCTCTACCTTCTGAGCCCTCATGGGCTCAGCCCTTGCCGTAGAATCTGGCAGCATTTCCTCCTTACTTGCTTTCACATGTGTGGAGCCAGAGCAGCATTCTAATCCTGTAGTTGGAGTTTTCTTTGGGTCGCCAGAGCACAAATAACATGGAGACTTACTATATAAGCAAGCTTGGCCTTACCTTAGGTTTGTTCCATTAGCTCTTATAGCTTAAATTACCCATTTATTTTAAATCTATGTTCTGTTGCATGGCTCATTACCTGGGTACTACCCATGCTGCTTCCCCTGAGTCTCGCTGGCTGAGTTCTCTCTCTGCCCAGAAGTCCCTCTTATAACTTCTGCCTAGCTATTGGCCATTCAGCCTTTTATTACACCAATCATAGTAATACCATTTTCACACAGTGTACAAATATCCCACAACATAATTCATTCCCAACCCCCAAGTAACAAAGTTGATGCCTTCCATACCCTCTTCATTGGAGTGAGCTGAAGATAGGGTCATAGCCTGCTAGTCTAGGGTAGCAAAGACTGTCCCACAGGATACAGGAACACAGGGAAGATGTCCATACCAGCTGTCAGGATGTTGACATTCTTCACAGGGGCTAACAAGTGGCTACTGCCCCAAGTGACCTCAGGGGGTCCCCCACTGCATGGTTCCCTTACCAGGAGTCTCCTGGAACCCCTGTACTTCATAGCAGCTGGAGTATCAATGTCTGGTACAGGTCCACCAAAACTGTTCCTTCCAGCAGCTGTGTTCAAAGCCATGTTGGCAGATCAGTACCTCTTTACTGGTTGTGCCAATCAATGTTCAGGACTCAGCTCAGCTTCAGTGTCATATGACAACCCAGTGGAGAGTGGGGACAGCCTTGTCATTATCTTTCCCCATTTCAATAAACACTTATCCATACCCCCCACCCTGCCCGCCCTGTGCAAGACCTGGCTGTAGCTGGGATCTGACCAGCTACAGCCAGGCTCTGGGATAAATCTGTGGTTACTGCTCAAGGCCTGAGAACATCTGAAAACCCCATCTCCAAAGCTGCCTCCTGATGAGAAGTGGGTTGGGAGTACTTTTCTCTGACTGGGGGAAAGGCTAGCTGCCCAGAGATGCTGCTGAGGAATGACTGCCCCAAAGCCTCCTGGAGTCAGAGGTCCAGTGACCAGCTCCACCCCAACCTGTCTCTATCTCTCCACAGATGCAGTCTACTTATGTCCTGCAAGGCCTCCACCTCCATATCCCCAACATCTTCCAGACCAACCCTACCAATAGTTCTTTGGCTCTGAGCTCAGAACACAGTAACTACAGGGTAAGAGAGCAAGTGTGTGGTCAGCCCCAGCCATGCTGGGGGTATCCTGTGAGAACCGGAGGAAATGGAGCAGCCTGCACACCACCGCAACCCCTCATTGATGTGGCATGCTTAGGACATGAGAGAATAAGCAGCAGGGTAGAGGAACATGTGCAACCAGCCCCTCTCTCAGCATGATCAGCTGACCACAGGGACTAAGTGTCCTTGCCGTGTTTCTGCTCACTGCCAGCTTGCATCCCCAGTGCAGTGCAACACATAGGTCCCTGTTTTCCTGGGATTCTTTCCATGCTGCACTCGTGATGGCAAGTTGTGTCATCTTTGCCTTCCTGGATATAATCCTGTCCTCTAGTTACACAACTGAGAAAGCCGAGTACCGTGGTGGGTGGGGGTAGGACAGGAGCACTAGCCCTGGGTTACTCGGGGGCATTATTCAGCCCAGAGCTCTTTCTGTTCTGCCCAACCTGTCTCTACTGGCCTTCTCCTACCCAGATCCCAGAAGCCTGGCTCCTGCTGGCCAATGTTATGGCAGTACTGATTCTGGTCCCTGTCAAGGACCACTTGATTGATCCTCTCCTGCTTCGGTGTAAGCTACTGCCCTCAGCTCTGCAGATGATGGCCCTGGGCATGTTCTTTGGGTTCACCTCGATCATTGCGGCAGGTGCGTGATACACTGTGTTCATTCAGACCCTGAGTGAGAGGTCTGCCCTCAAGACACAGTAGGGGAGTGAAAGTCACTGGGTGTGGTGGTGCGTTATTGTAGCCCTCAGCACTCAGGAGGGTTCGAGGCCAATCTGGGCCACATGAGACTGTTTGAAAGCAAAAATAATTAAATAAATAAAGTAGAGACTGAAGGAATTAAAGCTAAAAGAACACTGTCTTGTTGATCATGTGCGACACAAACTAGATTCTTTTATGGCTATCTTCTTTGAAGTATTTTGTCCTAGTAATTTTGGCCTCAGTAATCTCAGGGATTTTCTTGGTTCTTGAGTAAGGGGATGGCATCTCCAAAAGGTTAGGTGAGTTGCCCAGGTTTGCACAATAAGCCAGTGGAAGGGCCAGAATTGGAATGCAAGTGCCTTACCTGATTGTGAGTTTACCAGGGCAAAAGTTTCTCCAAAGCATTGTAGGGAGAAGATAATGAACCTAAAATCCAGGCTGGAAACACTACCATAATACTAGCCTTGCCCTAGAGAAGTCATGTGATCTTATGGAAAGTAGGCCAGCTTGAAAACCAGATGTACTGGGACTAAGATTTAGCCCTGACTGCTTATGACTTGTGTGATTCTGTGCTGATTGATTGCTCAATCTAAGTTTCACTTTCTTCATTTGTAAAGAATGTCCTAACAGACTCTGGATTAATAAGAACCATGTGAAATACAAAACCTAGCTGAGCTTCCTAGCAGTCAAGGCAAAAAAAAAAAAAAAAAAAAAGAGTTGGAATTCAAGCTCTAAACTGCCTGGAGTGTTTTAACTGTACTCTCTTCTCCCCACCCCGAATCCCCCAGGAGTCCTGGAGAAAGAGCGCTTACAGTACATCAATGCCAACCAGACAGTGCCTCAGCTGATTGGGCAGGACTTGTACTATGCAGCACCACTGTCTATCTGGTGGCAAATCCCCCAGTACCTGCTCATCGGGATCAGTGAGATTTTTGCCAGCATCCCAGGTATCCTGGATTCCCTCCCCAGCTCTACACTGGTGCTCAGTTCTGCTTGGGTGAATGTACCTCCAGACCAGAGGGAACCACGAGCACTGGTGGCACTCTGGCTTCATATGGAGGGGCAGCGATTCTGAGTGAGGTCTGCATGTGCTCCAGCGAGGTTTGAAGGACTTCCTAGCCTGGTGTCAGGCTTGAGCCAGCCACTGCAACAGACTCTGGGGAGTTGGAGGTTAAAAGGCACTTCCCATATGTCCCCTGCCCCCTGGATTCTGCCTACCTTTTGCCTTTGTGGTCATTGTTCCTTCTGTCTCTTTCCTCAAAAATCCCCTGGGTTGGGTGCTCCTCCCTTCTAGAACTCAGCCCTGTGTCCTATAGTGTGCATGGGCACACACACAGGCACACATGCACGCGCGCGCGCGCGCACACACACACACACACACACACACACACACACACACACACACACTAACCCTGTCCCAATTTAGACAGGAAGCCAAAACTACAAGCTTGGGTAGGCTCTCCCTCTGGGTCATGGTGGGAATTCTACATCTTGATGATAAAACTGACTCTATGAACTCAAGTTGCAAACAAACAAACAACAACAAAAACCAACCAATACTGGACTGGGGGGTGTAGAGTGTGGCTGGGGTTTGAGTAAGGTGGGAAGGGATGAGGAGATGGGTTCCTGGGGAAGCTGAAGTCAGCAAGTGTGGGAAGGACCTTCAATGCAGGGGGAACAGCATGAGCCAGGAGGATGGGGAGAAAGGTCACTGTGGGCCCAGTGGCTGAGCATGGATGGTCAGTTTTTCTGAGGCCAACAACACCCATCCATCCTCCCAGTCTGGTCTACAAAGGGAGTTTCAGGATAGCCAAGGCTACACAGAGAAACCCTGTCTCAAAACAAACAAAAACCCAAAAGACAAAAACAAAAAAGGTTTCAGAGACCCACTCAGCCATGTGTGGGTGATGAGGTCAGGACTCAGGGCAGATGAGACAAAAGGGAGGCCTACATTTGGATACTATTTTAGATGCTGAATGGAAATGATTTGGTGATGGTGTGGAAGGAAGCTTGGCAGAAAGTGGGGAGAAGCTGAAGAAGCTGCTAAGACGGAACCCACCCCAATCCCTGGGGTGCCAGGAGGAAGGACAATAGTCAGAGCTCTGGGGTGGTGTTTAAGATGTCCAGGGGAGGTGCTCCATCAAATGTGGATGAGGGCAGATAAAAGGTCCTGTCACAGGTATGCAGGTGCTGTCAGTCATGGGGACACACCATCCAAGGGGATTAGGATAGAGGCTTGGAAAAGAGGGCAGGAGGAATGTGACCGCCCCCCTATACTGGGAGGTTAGCAGTGGGGCCCATCTCTGCTCCCGCTGTAGCCCAAGTCCCTTCCGTCTCTCCCACAGGTCTGGAGTTCGCCTACTCAGAAGCTCCACGCTCCATGCAGGGTGCAATCATGGGCATCTTCTTCTGCCTTTCTGGGGTGGGCTCACTGCTGGGCTCTGGCCTGGTGGCCCTACTGTCCTTGCCTGGGGGCTGGATGTACTGCCCCAAGGACTTTGGTGAGTAAGAGGGGACCCTCCCCAGGAGAAGATAGGAATGGAGGGTGGTGTAGGGATGGGATGAGCAGTCATGCTTTAGACTCAGTGGCCCTCACAGGAACCTTCCTGCTTCTGGAACTCAGCCATTATGGACTGCTGAGTGGTCACTTTCTCCCCTGGTGATTGCTTCAAGTCTCCAAATAGAGGACTAGGAGATATACCAAGAGACACCTGGGGAGTTACAATACTAGAGGGCTCTCTACCCAGTGCTCTCACTCCACACCATTGTGTGTCTTTAGCTGCCAGCCCAAGGAGCCCCTCCCACCCTACATGTCCGTCCTCCTGTCCCCAGGGAACATCAACAACTGCCGGATGGACCTATACTTCTTCCTGCTAGCCGGCATTCAGGCTGTCACAGCTGTCCTGTTTCTCTGGATTGCTCGTCGCTATGAGAGGACTCGTCAGGACCCAGCCTCCCAGAGCTCATCCAGCAGGGTCAGGGGCTGAATTAGTCTCCGCCCACACAGACAGTGTCACAGAAGAATGGACTGTGCCCATTCTCTTCTCATTTATTCTGTACCCAACATTAGAATGAAGTATTTCCCATAAATAAGGGGCATGCGCCCTCCCTCTTGACCATGGTCCACGACAAGGGGTGGGGTGGAGGGGGCCTGGGTTTGGGTTCCCGTGGGGACCCAGAAGGGGACTCGGATCAACAAGCACCAGAGGATGAGCATGAGGGCCAGGCAAGAAGTCCAGCCAGACATCCCACTGGTCCCAGTGCCTGGGCTGGTGGCAGAAGCTGCACCTGGCAGGCCAAGGAGTGGTCAAGAGCTGCCCCGGATCCTCTCCATGTAGTTACGAAGCTCCTCCGGGTCCTTCAGCCCCATGTCCTCACACACCCAGCGGATGTCCTCCTCACCTGCCACCAGGATGGACTGTACAGCCGGGGCCCCTACAGGCTCCTCAGGCAGCTGGGCTGGGGGTGCTGGCGCAAATGTCACAAACTCTACTCTCTTCCGACGTCCCCCAGCTTCTTTGCGGGCCAGAGTGCTTGAGGAGCCAACAGTGCTCTCTGAAGCACTGGGGGCCACGGTTGGGGCATCCCCTCCGGCTCCACTTTCACAGGGACAGCCCCCCTCCCCCTTGGGTGGGCCTGGGGAGGAGCAACGGTCCAGCTGACGACTTAGTTCCTCCTGGTTGGTGCCCAGCCAGACCCAGTTATGCGGCTGGGGGGAGGAAGGGTCTGTAGTGCTGTCGGGAGGCTCTTTGCGCTGGTAGCGTAACACGAAGACTACACCATTGACCAGAAAGATGAGGATGGCCAGACAGAAGATACCCAGCAGAGCATACATTCCCAGCTCTAGGTCAGTGACACGCTGAGGAGCAGGCACCATCTCTTCCTCGTCTTCCTCCTCTTCTTTGGCCTCATCCTCTTCCTTCCCAGCATCTTCCTCTGCCCGCCCAAACTTGCCTCTAACGTCCACATGGCCCCCCACACCACCTGCTACTTGCCGCTTTCCCTCCACGGTGGCGTCTGTGAATGGTGGACTCCGGGCAGGACTGGATGGGAGGGCAGGTGCTGGCGTGGGCAAACGGGGCAGCCCCAGCCAGGCAGTGCCTGAGGCCAGGGGCACACGATGACGGCCCCGGCGACATGGTTCCGGTGGGTGCAGAGCCACGTGCAGGGGCAGCCCTTCAGCACCAACCCCACTCACCACCACACCGAGTTGGGCTCCCTGCTCTTCCGCCGGTAGGACAGCACTGGGCTCCTCAGCTGAGACCGACAGTCCCAGGTCACTGCGGTCGTAGAGCTCGGCAGGGGCCAAAGTGTGGTCAGAGAAGGACAGCCACAGGGAAAGGGCCACCTCCTGCAGGGCACACAGACACAGGCAGAGACACGCGAGGGCACGCACGCATGTACACACAAGCCACTCCCACAGTGACAGGCCACACGGAAGAAAGAGCACGGAGGAAACAGAGACACAGGCAAATGGACAAAACACAGGGAGAGAGGGGACGTGTGTCAATCACCTGTCTGCCACTCAGCCCAGGAGTCTGAGTCCTCAGGAGAGCCTAATAAACCTCCCAATGCCAGCCACTGCTTGATCACTTCCAGCCACAGAGAACTCACTGCCTCATGGGAAGTAGTCCTTATTTTGAAAACCCTGGTCCAAGTACCAGGACACACTCCCTCCCATCCTCCTCCACCATCAGCCCCCATCAATAGCTGTTGACCATGCTCCCTGACCCCCAGCCATCACCTGCTTTGGGGCTGGAAGAGCTGACTGGGCCCAGCATGTGGCTGTGACCTCCCCAGGGTGGGATGTGCCTCGGCTCAGGGCCAATGAGATGCCCATCACTGGCTGTACTCTCAGCTCCAGCATTGAGACCTTGTCGTCTGTCACAGCCAGTGCCTGCTCCCCCAGGATGGAGTCAGATAGTGGGGAACGAACCTAAGAGTGGGAAGCAAATGAAGTTGGGGTGGTGATGGTGGGGGGGGGGGTCTCCTGCACACAGTCTTCCAGCATCTTCACACTCTAAAAAACTTGCAAACTCCCATCCACACCAGAGGACAGTGCCCTTCTGGAGGCCTGTCCCTACACACCTATACCCTTGTCTTTCACACCTGCTGCATCTCCTGCAGTGAAATGAACGCCATTCTCACTCAGCCTCCCAGACCTGTTCTCCCCAACCCCTTTTTGCAGCCTTCACACCTAACTGGGAACTTTCTGGGGACACTGGCACCCTAGGAGGGGAGGGCAGAGTCTTGCTCTTTAGCGTCCCCTGTGGTGACTTACCTCAATAGAGGTGACTCCAGGCTCTCGTCCCACTAGGATACGGCCGCCTTCCAAGGAGGCTATGCGAGGATCTTGCACACGAGCATGGGCTGCCACAAGGTGAGTCACATCCAGCAGCCAGTCAGGGCCGAGTAGGTAGGTGAGGCGGCGGCCGCCATCCAGCGGGTGGGCCACAAAGGGTACCAAGAAGCGCACACCAGCTCTCTGGTACTGCAGGCGGCAGCCACGGGAGCGTCGCTCGGCCTCCTCAACTGCAGCCTCAGGCTCCAGCTGCCTGCGGGGTGAGGTGGGGCATCAGTGATGGCTCCGCCCACTGCAGACCATGCCTTGCCCAAACTCCAAACCCAGCAAGGACCCGGCCAGCCCCCAACTTGAGGTTCTAAATTGAAGTTTAATGCCTCAGCTTGCACAAATGACAAAACAACAGTAGTAACCAGAGGCTCCTGGCCGCTGTGTGCCTCCTGTTCTTCAAACTTTGCCCTGAGTACCCTCCCTTCCAGGTCCCAAGTCTTTCTGCTCAGGTCAGGGATGCCCGGACACCCTTTGGCTGGTGAAATAGGCCTATCTATCCCACATTGACTGCACTTATTTCTGCATATCTCTGGAGTGGGGAGGTGACAAGGAAATGGAGTGACAACTTAGTTTCTACAGGGCATGAGAGCTACATTATTTTGAGAGGCCCAGGCACCACATCCTCGCCTTCACGTTCTAGTGAGCCTCCCCACTATCCAGTATAGTTTATTTTTATGGACCTCGTGCTCTTCAAGGCTTCGGGGTATAGTAGTGAACACTCTCAAGGATGGAGCAGAGCTGGAGGAGGATGAGCAGAAAACCAAGTAAAAAGAACTAGTATGTGTTACAGCTGACAAGGAACCGGGGTAGAAGGGATGCGGAGGCTGCCGGTTTACACTACAGTGGCCAGCGACGACTAATATTGTCAGCTTGACAAAATCCAGAGTCACCTGAGACAAATCTCTGGGCATGACGGTGAGGTAGCTTTTTTAATGAGGGTAACCGAGGTGGGAAGATCCACCCTAACTGTGGGCAGCAACATCCCATCAGCTGGGGTCCTGAACTGAAGAACGAGAAGGTGAGCCAAGCACCAGCATCCATCACTCTCTGCCTCCTGACTTTGGGTGCAATGTAAGCTGCAAGCTATCTAAAGTCCTCACTATCTAGACTACCTCACCATAATGGGCTTGAACTGTGAGCCAAAAAAAAAAAACCCGTGTTTCTTAAGCTTCTTTTGTCAAGTGTTCTGTCGAAGCAACATGCAAAGTAACTAATGATCAGAAGGTACTGCTGGTGAGCAGAGAGCAGTGCTCCAGACTCCAGCCTGGGTCCGTGGAGGCGTCCACTGTGTACCCTCAGTCTCAGGACGAATTCACCAAGTCCTACGGGCTCCTGCAGACCTACACTTACCCTTCTGCTGGGCCTGGGACCCTCCAGCCTCGAATCTGCTCCAGAGTCGTGTCAGTCAGCTCAATGCGCAAGGGCAGAAGCGGAGCCCATACTGTCAGCTTCAGTGAAGCCCGCAGGCGGCGCCACCAGAAGTCCACCCGCACTCCCTTGGCACCCCGGCTCTCCTGGCCAGCCACAAACACAGCATCGCAGGCCTCAGAAACCTATGGAGAGGCAAAGATGGGCTGAGATGCAAATGACAGGCACTGATATAGCATCGCCTACTCCAACCACAAGTAGGACTTCAACTCATATTCAGTTCTGTGTGGCGCAGCAATATATGTTGTGGTGGGCTGGACAGCAGCTGCTGAGTTTAAAATATTTCTCTGTGCTACCAAAACCCAACCCAGAGGCACTGGGCCATAGTTTGGTTCTCCATTGGATGAACGGGGTCATTTGCATGCAATACACACATAGCCTTCCTCCTGGAATGTTAGCTCCTCAGTATCAGCCTCAGACATTGGTGCTGGAGGCATCTAACAGCCAGCTCCAGCTAAGGGCAAAGGCTGAAGGGCAAGACCGGCCCACCTATCCAAAAGCCCTCATGGTGCTGTCACTGCTGCCTGCGATCTGGGTCTGTGCTTCCTCATTAAGACCGCAAGATGGACAAAGCTGTCTACCCTCTTAACCTCACAGGTCATTAAGACAGTGACTAGTATGAAAATATTCATCAGATTATAACAGTAGTAACTGATGATGCTTCCGTTCTTGCTATCTGCTGGTACTGTCTTAGGTACTTTTAATTCTTACAACAGCCTAATAATGTGTTAGAGCTGAGGGATCTGAGGCTCAGAGAGGTGAAGAGACTTGCACATGACCACACAGCTAGTTCATAACAAAGATGGACTATGCTGATTAATATTGCCAACCTGACAAGATCTAGAACTCCCTGGGAGACAAACCTCTAGACATGTCTGTGAGGGAATTTCTAGATTGGGTTCACTGAGGTGGGAAGACACACCCTGAATGTGGGCAGCATCATCCACAGGCTGGGTCCCCTACCCCATCCCCCACCCCCAAAATACAAAGGAGAAATCCTTTTTTCTCAGCACCAGCATTCCTCTCTGTTTCCTGACACAGTGCAATGTGACCAGCTGCCTCAAGCTCCCAGGCTCCTCCTTCCCTGCCATAATGGCCTTAACTATGAGCCAGAATAAACCCATCCTTCCTTAAGCTGCTTTTGTCGGGTTTTTCACACAGCAGTGAGACAAGTAACTAACACAGGTGTCCACAAAAACATCCTGACTCCAAAGGACATGCATTCTTCCAGCTCAGCTTCCTGGCCAGAGCCAAAACTGGATGATGGATGATTGAATATCGAAATAAGCTTAAGGCCGAACTTTCAGATTTACCACTTTAGAGAGACCATTGGGA